CTCCCCGCCTACCCCCGGTTCTCCGGCATCCCCTCGACATGTCCCAAGCTCCTCGGCATCCCCCGTCGCCTCCCCGGCATCCCCCCTGTCTGCCTGCCTTGTGCTCCCGGGAGTCCCCCCATCACCTCTCGGCATCCTGTCGACGTGCCCCGCGCTCTTCGGCACCCTCTTCCCTCCCGTCATCCCTCCCACATCCCCCCGACCTGTCCCAGACTCTCCGGTATCTCTCTGTGCTCTGCACCTTCCTGAAGTCCCCCTGCCATCACCCCAGCATTCCCCATTCTGACCCATGGTCCCCAACATCCCCTCATTCCGTCCTCCAGACCATCCCCACCATCCTTGTCCTGCCCTGAGCATCCCAAGCATCCCCTGCATCCCCCCATGCTGCTCCAAGCATCCCTTTCATCCCCTGCATCCCCCATGTCCTGCCCCTCAGCACCCCTGGGTGTCCAGTGGTCCTTGTGGGGCCACATCCCTTGTCGGGGTGCTCAGCCACCCTTGGGGTGCTGCACGGAGACTTCTGTGCCTCGGTGGTGGCCAGCACAGCCAGAGCGTGGCCGCAGTGCAGGTCCTGGCCGTGGTGGTGCTGCAGGGCTGCCCCGGCCCCCCTGTGCCCTGCCACCCGGCCCTGGGTGAGCTGCTGGGGGGGCATCTGGGAGGGAGGGAGTCGGGGGAGACACGGGAGAGGTTTGGTGCTCCCAGCGGGGCAGGGAGCATCGCTTGCCAGCCGGGTTTGCTGAGCAGCGGGAGAGCAGAGAGGTGCCTGAAACTGCTGCCCCTGGGACACGCGGATCCAGAAATCAAGCCTGGCCGCGTGGGGCTGCGGCCCCCTCCCCTCCGGGTTTGGGGGCAAGGAGGCCAGGGCCTCCCAGCTTGCCCCGTGGGGCCCGGGGTTGTGGCAGCGTCCCGGTGTGACAAAGAGCCGCCTGTCCCTGCTGGGCGTGCGGGGATCACACAGCCCAGCCCCAGCGTCCCCACCACCCCCTCACCCTGCCCTGGCTCCCTCCTCCCCTTTTCTTCTTAGCTTCTTACCCTGAGGTTGTGAGTGTGATTTCACTACTGCTCCAAAACATGAGATGTGATGTGCTCTGGGTCACTCCATAGCAGAAATCCCAAGACAAGTGCTAAATCCCCAAGAGGTGCTGGCTGTGCTGGGCACCAGGGGGGTCAGGAGCTCCGTTTCTCAGCCTGCTGTGGAGCTGCACTCTTATCTCTCCCAGGATGCCAGGTCAGCGTGTGAAGGCTTCAATCCCATCACAGTCCTTCAAATTGTCATTAAAGACAAATATTGTGAACTGCAAAGAAAAGAACCAGCTGCATAAAATCCTTCCTATTGATATAAAAACATGCAGAAATGCTGTCTTTTCCATAAACTGGCCTTTGTTCAGTTGGTTTTTTGCAAATGTAATTCAGATAAACACTTCCAAGTAATAACAAACTTTAAAGATAAGAATGAAGCTCAGCAGTGACTCATTTAAACAGGCTTCAGCTACACACAGCCTCAGCCATCTAATAACCTCTGAAAAGACTTTAGATCCAAAATATAATGGAACACAAAGCCCCTGAGCCCCTGAGCTCAGACTGAGGTAGCAACGAATAATATCATGGTACTGAGTGGAGTTTACAGGAGGTTTGGGTAACACATCCTTGTCTCCTTCAATAATATCACCCAAATAATTCCTGAACAACAAACAGCACAGTCTCTTTCAGAGGGAGGTGCTCCCCTGCCAGCTTTCTGCCACAATGAGGATGAGGATACCTGTTGTGATGGTTATTTGGTGGGGTGGAATATAATAAAACGTCCCTGACATCTTTGCTAAGGCAGGGAACAGCTTTGGCTTTCGTGCATGAGCAGTGCTCCAAGCCTGCACACCTCAGTGCTCAGGAGCTGTGTGATGTGAGCCCTGTCCACAAGTTCAAGCAGGAGATTCTCCTTTTAGGAAAAAATGAGGACAACTGTGGCTCTTTTTTCTTTGTGTTCAGAACTTGTGACACTCACTGCCAACGTTTCAAGCAATCTTCTGGGCAGCTCCTTCTTTAAAGGTGCATGAGAGTCTGAGAACTTTTGAAACCAGCCACCAGCTTTTTGCTGAAGTGGCAGAGGCTGGTGAGAAGGGGTTGGAACTGTGGCTGGGAGGCAAGAAAGCAAAAACCAACGTGGGGCTCAGCTCTTCTAGCATGAAGCTGGTGGCACACCTGGGGAGGATGCTGAGAGCACACCCGGGGAGGATGCCCCCCTGCATTGCTCAGGGGGTGGGAGCAGCCTGCAGTCGGGATGTCCATCCCCGGGGAATATTGTCTGTTGTTCTTCTTGTTTCCTGAAACGTGCACACTTACCGCGTTTCAAATGTTTCCCCGTTCCAATGTGCTGATTTGATGACGGGGTGGGGGAGCGTTCAGCCCTGCAAATGGTCGTTAAAGCCAGTTGTGTGTTTGCACTTGGAGGATTATGTTAATCATGCTACAAATGATGCTTTGAATCATGTCTAGAGGTTAATTAACATGCCTTTCTTCTCTTAAGAGGGCCTTCATGTCTGCTTAGAGTTGCTGCCTTTTTTCTGCTTCCTTTCATAATTACTTTGCAGCTCTCTAGTATCATGGGTACCTTTAATTTAACCCTATCAGTGCTCAGGCTGCTGGAGCTTTGCAGCGTGCTTAGCATCATGATGGTGCTTTGATGGGGTGGAATAGAATAAAATATCCCTGACTCCTGGAGATGTTGTGGCCAGGCTGAGACCTTGAAGGAGCTGATGGAAAGTGGAGAGGGTCTGGCTGGAGCCAGGTGAGGAGAGAGGTTCGTGATGGGAATATTGCCCAGGAGCCACAGGCAATTTAGGAGCAGGGCCTTCACACAGTTAATGGAAAGGAGAATCTGTTGTGGGAAGTCCTGGAGCTATGAGGGCTGGAGAGGGGCATCCCGAGGGGTGCAGGTGCTGTGGGGAGATGGGATTGCTCTAGGGAGGCCAACTGGTAGAGCTGGGAAAAACAGGTGAGCTTTTGAGCTCTGAGCTGCTTCATCCCATCTCACTGCTTTTCTTTTTTTGGTGCCAGATCTCTGCATGCATATGTGTGCATGCAAAACAGTCCTTTATCCTGAGCTAATTTATTTTCTCTTTCAGTGGGAGCACTTGGCTCATGGGTTCCTGTCTCAATGCTGCACTTTGGAAGCTAGTGCTGCTTCATTTCAAATGTCTATTTTTATTTTTATTTTTACAGATAGTCTGCAATTATTTTCAGGCTTTGTCAAGCATGTAATCTAAAATAACAAACTGATCAGCCCATGGGATTGAGGTTAAAAGCACATGGACCACTTGCCTCTATAGCCAGTGATGCCCTGCTGGAGCAGGGCAGAAAACCCACTCAGGACAGGGGAGAAGGCTTTGCACAGCTCCAGGAGTTCCCTGGGTGGGACTTTCCTGTTTTTTTGCCCATAGCAGGATTTGTAAAGATTCAGCCTCGTGAAAATGCACAGTAAACCTGCTTACCCTTTGATTAGAAGGTGCTGAGAGGTTTAACAAACCTTCAGGCTGGTTTCCTGCCGTGTCAGCTCAGCCCTGGGTTCCCAGCACACTCTAAGGGTTGCCTGTTGGGGTCAGATCAGCAGAGCTATGAGCAGCCCTGTTCCCATGATCAGCTGGGTTTCCTGCCCACAAACCTGCTCCACAAACGGGGAATTCTAAACCCTGTGCCTTGGGAAGGGCATCACCTGCACCTACCAGAGATGTTTTTGGGCTGAACATTGTTTTTCCCCTTTGTAGGGCCCAGAACAGAGAGGGTTTGATGGTGTAACATTGTCTCCATCCTTTCAAAGCTCCAAGTCCCATTCCCTTCTGGCTTTGTAAGGAAAAGCCAGATGGGAGAGCTTTGTGACCTGCAGGGCATTCCTTGGCCCAGGACCATGAGCCCAGCTTTGCTGTCAATGTCAGGAAAGGGCTTATCCCAAAGAAGGATAATAACAGTGCTGGTAAGAAGGTCTGATCTGGTACCCAGCAACAGTGCACTGCTTGCTGCCTAATTAAAATTTCATTAAGTTGGTTCCAATCTCTTGATGGAGGTCACAGACACACCATTGATGTGCTAATGTCTTACTTTTTCCCTTTTTTTTTTCTCTTTCACCACTATCCATCATCCTCTTAGATAAAGCAGTGCCATTAGGACTGCTTTCCAGTGTCCCCAGATGCAATGGCACTGGAAGAAAGAGAGCTGTTCACCAGATATTATCTGTCTCTTATTTGCTCCATAATTAAAAAAATGCCTTTTTTTTTTTTTCCCCTCAAATCTATTTGAGCATTAACCCTTTTGGTATTTCTGTTGAATCCCCTGATTAGCTTGAAAGTGGGAAAGTTACCTGGCAGAACTGACTGAGATGTGTCTGGGGAGTGGGGGAGCCTGAATTTTGTGCATGAGCAGCTAAATTTGGGCTGGGGAGAAGTACCCCCTGTGTGTGCTGTAGCACAAGCAGGTCCCCATCAACCCAATCTTTCATTTGGAAGAGAAGGAATGAGGACTGGAGCTTCTTTGCCTCCTCTGCATCCCTGTGCCCCAGCCCAAAACACCCTGGCTCAGTGGACTCCTAGACATCAGCCACCTCCCTGGCAGCATCACACCTGGGGCTCTGTTACTGCCAGGCTGGTCTTGGGGGGTTTGATCTGCTTTCATCATTCCCATTGGATAACACCAGGCACTCCCCAGTGCTGCTGGACAGGGGGATAGCATCTGCATGGGAACAGGATGGAGAGGGAAGATCTAATAGGAAGGAGAAAGCTCTCAGATGGCACCCAAAGGAAGGTAATTGCTGGGGAGGAGAAGACGAGGATGTGTGGGATCCTCTTCCTGGCTGGCGCTGCGATGCCGACCAGATGGCGGATGTTTGTTTCTGTGACTTGTGTGGGGGAAATACCAGGAAGCTGTGAGGCTGGATCCATCCCCCCTGCACAGGCAGTACCTCCTGCAGAGGCAGGCTCTGCTGTGCCCAGGTGGCTATTCCTGGGTTTTCCCCACATCTCTTGCACTTTGGCCCAAGGAGCAGGCGCTGCTCTTTTGGGTGCAGGGCAGGCTCACCCAGCCATGGTGTGGGTCAAAGAAGGGTTTTGGGGTCCAGTGCAGAACTCACAGGAAGGTTTGGGAGGAGTGAAGGATCTGGTGGCCACGTGGTGCTGGTGGCAGCAACTCAAGGGGCAGAGGACAAGTAGAAACTTCACTGGGCTGGAGGGAAGGCAGCTTTGCTGCTCCAGTGCTGCTGCCCTGCAGGCAGACACCAGCCTGAGCACGGGCACTGGCTCTCCCCAGCCCTCTCTGCCCTCCCACAGGCCCTGTGGCTGCTCCTCCTCTACCAGGAGCTGGGCCAGCAGCATCTTGAGCCATGCAGCAGAGCCAGACCCAGCTGCCAACATCTGCATCCACTTCCCAGCATCAGCCCCTGGTGTGGCCTCCCGGGTCCTTGCCAGCACTGCTGCAGATCTCAAACCCCAGGTCCCCATTCAGCCCCTCCATCCAGCACCAATTTATTCTTTTAACAAGGTTAAAACCCCTTGTGTCCATTCAGGTTCTGCCTCTCCAGGTGCAGCACTATCCCCTTTCACCCCAAAACATCTTCCCTGAGTGAATATTTAATTACACAGAGCTCTGATGGGAAGGGACTGCGTGTAGAAAAAGAAAATGGTTTTGTCCATTTTGCCCCCTCCTGTCTTACAGTTGATTTTACAGACAGTATTTTCCCAGCTCATTCAGGGTTTCTGAGACATTTTCTGCCTCAACAGACACTCCCAGAAAGCCAGACACATTGTGACCTTCACTCTCTCAGCCCATGGCTTTATTTCCTAATTATTTATGGTATTTATTCTCTGGCCCCATTTGCAAAGGTGCTTAAGCACTTGAGCAGGGCTGAGATACCCAACCTTGCCTTCACCCTACTGGGAGGACAGGTCTCAGGGGTGGTCAAGTTCCAATTAACAGACTGCATTAATAAACTAGTGCACCTGATGGTGTGGCCCATTGCACAGGACACGATGGCAGGAGCTTTGCCAATCTGGTTTATCTCTGTCAAGCCAAACACCAGGTACCATTTCTCAGTGATAACTCACTGGACCAGACAGTTTTTTCTTCCTTTGCCCCTTCCACTTTAAACTCTAAAGATCAAGGATGTTGGCTTCAAAAGATGGGTTAACTTAAAAAAAAAAATCTAATTAGGGATATTAAGTGATTCTTCCCAGGATGTGTGACATGTTAATTTTGATTTTTTAAAAATTGTTTTTAAATGAAACTGCTTCTTCAGCAGATTTATTGCTCATGCAGTGGCAGAGCCATGGCACGTGTCAGACCTGTAAAATATTGAAATAATGGGGAGGGAATTGTTGTTAATCAGAATTTATCATGCTATATAAAGGCATATTTACAGTCCCACCAGGGGACTATTTATTTGTCTGGGGATAAACAATCTCCCTGGGAGTGGGAGCAGAAAATCTGATGTGGTTATATGTCTTTTCCCAGTGTGGTGGAAGCAGGAGAGCCCTGGGCTCCCAGGGGGGTCTCCCTGGCATGGGTGAGGGTCTGCAGTGCCTGGGGAGGGGCAGCCCACCAGGCAGCAAGGTCATGCTTCTCCCTGGCTGGTTTTGCAGAGGGAGCTGTGCTTTCTGCTGGGATAAAAGGGCTTTTTCCTGCCCCTGCCTGAGCTGGGTTCTCACAGACAGCCTTGATGCACCCTGTTTTTTCCCCCTGCCCCAGCTATTTTTGGGTTTCTGCCTTTGCATCCTGTTTCCTGCATCCTCTCCCTTCCACTCAACATGCAACAGGCACAAACAAGAAGGAGAGAGGGAGGTGCTGCACAGTTGGAAAGAGAGGGTTTAAATGCTACTGTTACGTACCTTTGCTCCATGGACTTCTCCAAACTTAGGGCTCATTATTTTTCTTCAGAAGCAGCTGTTTGATCTGCAGGTGCTATTCCAGCACAGGGCAGGAGCACTTGAGTTTAATTCCCAGCAAAGGCCCTGGAAAAGTTACAACAAAGCAACATTACTGGTTTGCAAGAGCACATCCAGTGTGTTCTGGCAGGCAATGCTGCAGCACCTTA